AACTTGAGTCCAACAAAAAAATTCCATTACCTAAGTCCTGTTTAGGCAGTGGAATTTGCGATGGGCCAGGCACATTCTGAGACTCACTGGAGCTAGAGGCAATTACTTCTGAAACGTGAGAAATTACACACTATAACTTTATGCAAGTCTCTCCTGTAGGTATTTTGGTATTCTGTGTGTTTATGAGTGAGAGTTAAATAAATGTGATAGGTGATAGTTGAAAATAATAACTTGTTATTTATTTGCAACAAGCATTATGTATACTTATTATCGCATACTATAATATCGAACCAGTAAAGGGGCCAATATGTCAGAATATAAATTTACATGCAATAAATCCATTTCAACAGTTTTACTAGAAAATGTTACAGTAATACAAACTGCATTACTAACCTTTTAGTGGTTCCCTTTGAAAGTATGTGTGGTCAAAGTGTCTTTTACGCAAGTAACTATGCTCCAAATCAATATCCATGTTTTCTGTAAGTGCAAAATAAATAAAACAATTAATATTAATAACATTAAAAGTTATTCCTTCGAACTAGGACACATCCGGGTATAAACACTAACACATGCAGGTATAAACAAACAATTCAAAACTCAATACTATTTCTTTAGTTTTAAAATTAAGTAAGTACTTAAATTGTTATAAGTTATTAACGCTGGATACACCAACGTCGGCAATTGCGAATTTGTTTCTTAGATGACGGTTATAGTTATTAATATTTTATTTCTACAAAGCAACTACGGGCTAAGCTCATATTAAAAGTCTGTTAGGACGTAGAGATTAGAAGGCTATAGTAAAGTCTGTACTTAAAACTTACCGGCATTGTCCTGTGATGGTATTCCAGAGGAAATCTCGTCTTCGGTAAACAAAGATGGATATGCACTGCCTATGAGACGTAATTTCGGCGTAATAAACCTCTTTTCAAAGTGTTTTTGACATACAAAAACGTTTGAAAGTTCTTCTGGTGATAACTTTTTCAGATTATCACGATTTAGTTACTTTAACCACTTCATGAGTCTTTTCTCAGTGCGAGGAAAATGATGTAAAATAGCGTCCTGTCGTGAACTTTTACATACACAGCACTCGTACATTTTGTATGAAGCAAAATACAAACACACAATACAGAATTAACGGAGAAGATAAGCACGTCACGTCTTCACTCGATCCGAACCTGTACAAACAAGCTACAAGCCACTACAAGGTGAAAACAACAAAACAATAACAAAGTGTAAAATACTACGATGGGAGCCGTCAATGTACGACACAGTAATGTCCAACACAAGAATGTACAGCCAAGAATGTCCGGCCCAGGAATTGGAGACACAGGTCACGTGGTATCACCATTTTTGATAGGCTTTGTTCACAATGAGATGTTCTGATGGACGAAAATTTAATTTTTTTTTTTAATTTTTGCTTTTTAACAACTGGCAGCTAGGAGTTTCTACGACGTAATTTTATCCTTTGTAATAGCCAAAGTAAACTGGGGAAACACGATCAAAGGAAAATTAATAGCGGAAAGAACTTGGAAAACTAAGAAAACGGACTTTCACTTTTTGGTTTAGTTTTAATGTTTTGAAAAAGAAACTTGAGTTAACGGATAACAAAATAAAATGCTTGACAATGAAAATGCAAGGCTAACAACACACAAGGAGTCAGTGGAAATCGATGGATGGCTTCGTACTCTGGAAAACACATCTCGTGGCTATAATTTAGAAATTCATGCAGCTCCCGAGCTGAAGTAGAAAAATCATACTGTTATTATTTATTTATAGCTACAAGTTTAGGCTCTCTGATAGAAATAGAACGCATACTTCCCGACATTGTAGAAAAAATATATTTATACCGTTGATCGCGGATAGCTTCAAGTAAGGAATCAAATATGAGATGCCCTGAATGTGGAAAATATAAAAGAGTGATCAGTGGCCTGCAAAAACTATAATACATGGAGGGAATATTTGTGCATTTTTATGAGGTATACCCTGGACAATTTCCGTTGGAAATAAAAAATTATCGAAATTGAAATAAACAAGATGGCCGCCAGACAAATTTCAAAGTCTTCTATCACGGAGATTATTAAAGATAGGTAGGAAATGCTCAAAGGAATGTCATAGAGGATAACACTGGTCAACTGCCTGGGTGAAAAAAAATCAAGATGGCGAATTCAAGATGACAGCCGAAGAAAAACTTGCTTCTATCCGGGTGAAATGGCATACCCAGTATGCCGTCTTTAGGAGTCGTGGGGCCAAAAGTTTCTTTTCACGATTTTTTTATATGCTGCCATATAAACATTGTTTTCGTTAGAAATGACTGTCAAGACAAACTTGCTTTGATTCGGATGATAATTGGAGCATGCGGAGGTCTCTAAGAGTGCCGGATTAAAAGTAATCGAAATTGATTTTTCGCCATTTTCAAACATGGCCGCCATACAGGCGTTCGCATAAAAATTAATAATATTAATATTAATTAATAATAATAACGCACACACTCAACATAGCCCCGCACTAGGGAAAACCCTGTGTCGCGGGTGCCATGGACACACACATAGAAAACCACAAATTACACCCAAACTCACGAGAGAAATAAATGTAGTATTTGTATGGACAAATATTTCTCCCGACGCGGGAATCGAACCTGGGACCTCTGCGTGGCAGTCCGGCGTGGTAACCGTTCGGCCACGGAGTCAGCTTTAAAAAAACTGAAGCTGTAGAAAAAAAACTGCTCTAGGAGTGCTTGATAATAATTTGTAATCAACATTAGTTTTTCACCACTTTTCAATAAAAAAAAGAAAAGTGTAGCCATACTAGCGTTTTTTGGCGGTTGATAAAAATTTGCTCTAATTCGACTGAAAAATCGACATGTGGGATTCTCTGTGTGTTTAATAATAATTTGCGGTCAAAATTAACTTTTTGCCATTTTTCAAATGACCGCCATTAAAGAGCTACCTATTTTAATTTTTTTAAACAAAATCATAAATGCCGAGGCCATAGGCCGAGGTCCAGCTGAGGGTGAAACCCGTAGGTAGTATACAGAGGCTCTATTAAAAGTACAAGATCTCACAATTGTTAAAAATGTAACATATATTATTATAGTTTTTGCAGGCCGTTGATCACTCTTTTATATTTTCCACATTTAGGTCCTCTCATATTTGATTCTTTGGAACGTACACTGCGTACAACGATCTAAATATCTTTTTTCCACAATATTGGGAAGTATGCGCTCTATTTCTATCAGTGAGTCTAAACTTGTAACTTTATGTATATATAGTATATATATGTATAATATTTTAATAATTATTATTACATTAAATAAAGTTTTTTTAAATAATTATTTTGAATACACTATTTAAAAATTTATCTTATCTCGACTCCAATACAAATCAATTTAAAAACATAATTAGCATTCCTATGTTTGTGTAATTTAAATTACTGTTATAATTTTATTGGGTGTCTAACTTATTTATATGCAACCAAACATTTAATTTCTTTTAATAAATAAAATATTAAACAAGGCACAATCACAAAATTTGTTAGTGCCTGAAACGCTAACCACGAAAAGCCAAGAAAAAAAAGTTTAGGAATTTTAGTGTTACTAATCTTAATACTGGCTCCCTGAAAACTGGGAGAAATAAGCTTTTAAATATTATGGATACGAATAACTCAGATATGTTGGGAGTGACAGATTCGCCTTACAAAGCTTAGACTATGGAACTTTGGAATGAAAACATAAACATGTTATTGTCTTTGTTTAACTACTGCGTGTCGTCGTAAGCTAAAAGAGATAGCATTACATTGGTATGTGCCAAATACGGGAATCGAAAATACTTAACGTCATCTTAAATGCCTACCGTTTTCATTTCGCATTACATGAGGTAGGTACATGATACGGTTGTCAAAGGGAAGTACATCAAATATCAAAACAAATGTTTTTCCAAGTGTTTTGCGTAAAAACATTCGGAAATTTTATTTTATAAAATGGACGAAAATTTTGAAAGTGAGAACAATTAGGTATTAATAAAAATGCGTCGCTACAGCATTAAGGGACGTGACATTAGCCAAAGCGAAAATCAACCGAATAACATTGCACAGACATGGTTATTTTTCTGTCTATAAATCACACAGTAGCCCAAAGATCTCATGTAATTAGACTTATTTAAGTAGTTTATTCATAAATCTTGCCAAATTTTGCTTTGATTACTTCTGATTACTTACTTGTTTGTATATTTTAATGATTGTTGTTTAGGATTCTTTTGTGATAGTGTTGATCTTGTAAACGTACTTATTATCCATATTCTGTTATGAAAACAATTCACTACGAGGTTTTTATTATTATTATTTTTATTATTTCAAGTTTACCAACAAATGACAAAAGAAGGGTTGGAAATCATAGGTTTGCCGAATATGAATATTATTATACAATTATTAATTTCATTTTGAAGAGTCAAATTTTACCAGAACTTTAAATGTAACTAGATTACATGATAATGCAATTCCATCATTAGGTTTATTGGTAAATAATGTTATATTTAATTTAGATTCAACAAGACTCATTTACTAGGCATTCTCAGTTCCTGAAAACAAAAGTATCCACTCGTTGCAGATTTTTTCATACGTTTTAATCACAGTAAACTAATTACAGTAAACGAAAGAAACAAAAAAAAAACTATTTCATGTCGAAAACATGTCGACAATGACTTATCGATAGATTATAGTACAACGCTATAGAAATCCGCCATTTGTAGCGTTCAATTTTTGTTTTGATACCCACGTTCATTCTGTAGTTAGGGCAGCTCGTTTCTTTTATTTTTTTTCCATTCTCTAAGCAAATAAGTCAGACATAGTCATTCTTTCTAGAAGTCAGAAACAAAATATTATATTATAGAGGCATATCTTTCAGTACATAAACCGAGAAATACTGGCACTCTGCGTTATGGCATTATGCGTCTGAATCCTGGAGTATTTTAATATTACGAAAGTACTGATTCCACCGAACGACCTTGAACAACTGGTATACTTCAAAATTGACAAACATAATAATTATAGCAGTTGATGTGATACACTAAAAATTGCCAGTTTCAACTTTAGAGGATGGGAAAAAATAGTTTCAACCAATAACAATTCTCTTTGGTTTCAACCTGCAACAGATAGTGGCTGACGCTATTAGATTTTACTCCTACCTCTCGAACAATTAAAGTTGTGATGACTCTTATCAACATTTATAATGTAACCACCCTATGTAAAGCAAATAAACGACATTCCGTTCCCTTTCGTTCCGTTCCGTCCACGGAAGAAGTGTATGTGGCCTGTGGTTCCGTCCCTTCCCGTCCCATTCCATTCTCCATTGCATATCATTCTATAACATGACGGCACAGTTGTATAAATAGTCACTTCTCAATTAGTTCAATGCAAGGATTAGTGGAGAAGAAATCCATTCTTGTCGAGAGTCTATGTCTATCTATATTAGTCGGTTGGATTTGACACGGCTGTCTCCGATTGGGAACTGCAATGCCAAACTATCAAGTTTGACGCTACCAAAATGCAAGTGTGTCTATTCTTCACAAAACGGAGTCCCTTTGACCTGACTTGGACTATTTGTGATAAATCCAAACTAATAGCAGACCGTCGTCAGCTACTTGGAATGATCCTGTTCTCCAGTTTGAACTTCGGCAGATACATAGAATAAATGGCCAAAAATGCAGCCAGGAAGCTTAACATCCTTTCCAAGGTGAGGTGCTACTTCACACCGTCACAATTGCCTAAAAAAAAGTTGTACCAAGCACAAATCCGGTCGTGTATGGAGTGTTACTGCTATCTATGGGATAGTTCTGCTAAATACCAACTGGCTACCTTGGAGTCAGTTGAAAAGCGTGCCGAAAGCCATAGGTGACTCGTATTTGTCGCGAAACTGCTCGCGCACTCGCTCGCCCTTCCCTATCCAAAAGCTACCCGCCTCCATCTCGCGGATGCTGTCGTTATCCTGTAGTTAAGTACAGGGTCAAGAGCACAAGCTTGACACTTAAGATTTATACACTTACAGCCTTACTAATAAAAATATTTAAAACAACTGCTTAACAACTGTATAGTTATACATTGTATAAACTGCAGATAAGAGTTACACACTCCCTTTACTAATAAAAGGTGTGCAAGCATTGCGTAGTTATAAATTAGTTAAAACAATAACCACTGGCAACATTTTTAGCGAGCGTTTTGATACTAGGTTGGAAAACCTGAGAGACATTTTGAAAAATTTTTAAACAGCGTAATAATGTTGTTTTTGTAACAAATAACATAAATTGTTAGCATAATAATTGACATTTCTTGTCTTGAAATGTGTCTAAAGTAATTTTGTATTTCTTTTACAATAAAAAAGTTCTTTTGGCAAAGGTTATCGTAAAAATTGTCAAAAACTTCATGAACGTACCTTTCATACATTGCTAAACGTCAAATTCAAAGTAAATTGCGTTTATTACACTGTATTAGGAAATTGTTACTGTGAAATAATGGCTTGTAATAGTGGAAACATTGACCAGCTCAAGGCGAAAAGAAAACGATCTGCAAATTGGGATACCTTAGAAAAGGTGAGAAGGAATTTTACTATACAAAAGATTTCCCACTCGGTCACAATTTGTAATCGAACTTTTGTATATTATCTTTCAGAATTTATTAAAAAGTTGCATACAGGAGTTTATATCCGTGTTAGAGAACAAAAACACTGACACTAATACCAATAAAAGTAAGACCATTGCTTGGCACACAGTAACAAAAAGGTTTGTAAAATACCACGTTTCACGCCTTTTGTTTGATGTTTCTTGTATTCTTCTAACCGTAATTGAGACAAAATGTTTTTCAGATTTATTGAATTAAATAGCCGGGAGAGAGATTTAGCTGAAATAAAACAACAATGGCGTACAATGAAATTAGATGCTAAAAAAAAAATATGTCCCAGGTAAAGACATCTATCAAATGTACTGGTGGAGGACCAAAGCCTCCTAGCCCAGATCCGGAAACAATAGACATCTTAAGTATGATTCCACAGGAATTTGAAACAGATTCAAATATCTTCGACAGTGACAGCATAGCGGTGAGGATCTTATAATTTTTTTATTATTGTGCATTGCATGAATTTTATTTAATGTAGACAGTATAATTGTGAGACAGTTACAAAATTATATCTTTATGAGTCTATGATATAAGTATAACCTTAATACACATTTTTCTATTTTATTTTAGAATCAGGAGGTGGAATGTGTCATGTCAACACAAGAGTATGTTCTCACTCCATTAGATAAGAAAGAGAATGTGGAAGAGGTTTGATAATTTAAATTTATTAATAAATGTCTGTATTATGCAGACCTCTATACATTCATACAATATTTAAAAATTGCTTATTAATATATTTATATGTCTGGTTTTTTGTATCAGAATATCACACCACAACCTGTGAAGAAGATTAATTTATTTAAACCTTGTGGGACAAAACGGAAACTACCATTTAATGAAATGAAACATAATGAACAGACTGCAAAACGTGAGGTAAAATAAAATTGCAACATTTAATTTAGGTAAAAGAATTAATGGCATGGTGATTTGTATTTAATAACAAACTATTTATTTCAGGAACGGGACTTCACAAGAGAGCGCCATATGGTTCTTGTCAATTGCATAAGGGAGGAACATGAGCTAAAAATGAAAAATATGTTAGAAGCTCAGAGTTTTATTATAGAAGAGCATGACCTTCAAGTTGAAAAATTAAAATTGGAAATTTTGAAATTGAAAATTGAAATTGAAAAATTTTTATTTCGGATATCTATGATCCATTGGTTAGTATTACAAATATCTTAATCTATTGTTAGTGAGTAAGTAATAAAAATAAAAATATAATAAAACTAAAAACAAAACATTTTATATTACACAACCATGTAAACACCTATTGACACACTATCATCAGGTGGTTTACATGACTGTGCAAAAGAGAGTCCGGTTTACTGGCGATCATTTGCAGAATGCTGCTGGTGCTGGCCCGCACCCTGCTCATCAATGAGGCAGCTCTTTTGCGCATGATGGCATGAAAGCCATCTGTGTGTGCCTCTGCGAACATTTGTGATGCGCTACAGAAGCAGGGCAACCCCAGCAGCATCCGGAATCCATTATTATATTGGACTCGCAGGGCATTAAGCGATTTCTGAGTACAGTCAAACCACAGGCCGCTCGTATAAAAACTCTGACAGTACGCTTGAAATAATGTGATCTTAACTTGATCAGAGCAACGAGCAAACCTGCGGGCCAACATGTTACTCCTTACCGCCAATGCCCTGCGTTCCCTCTCAATATCCAGGTGATCTTTAAGGTCATCGGTCAAGTAATGCCCTAGATATTTAAAATGTCATACTCTTTGTAATGGAGTGCCATATAGAGTGATTGTTATATATATATTATAGATATATTTTGTTGTTAAAATCTAAATTAAAATAATACAATGCTACAGCTAAAAGTGTGTTTCAATGAACAATGTTCTTGTTTCTTGGCCAGATCGGCTATCATTATCTCTCCTTAGCATTTGTTGATTATCATCATTTTCAGACAAGTGAGGTTCAAGAAAATCAATGTCTTCTTTCATATCGATGGCAATATTGTGGAGTATAGCAAGTGCTACAATGTACAATTTTACATTTTTTAGTGTTACACTAAATCCATGCAATAGACAACGAAACCTCTGTTTCCATACTCCAAAACACCTTTCAATTGGGTTTCTTGTCAATATGTGTGCACTGTTGTAAGACTCTTCCTTCACACCACGGGGATTCTGGATTGGTGTAAACAAATCATTTGTTAAACCATAGCCTGAATCTCCTAGTAAACGGGCACTAAATTCCCCATTTTCAAATTGTTGCCGAATTCGACTTTCCCTGAAAATCCTTGCATCATGTGTACTGCCCCTCCAGTGTGCCACTATGTCTCTTATCTTCAATTGAGAATCACAAACTACCTGGACATTTAAGGATGAAAACCCCTTTCTGTTGATATAGTATTGTGCGCTATCACCACCAACTTTTTTAATTTTTATGTGCGTGCAATCTATAGCACCAATCACGTTCCTAAAGCCGCAAATGTTTCTAAAACCGGAAACTAGTTGTTCTTGCTCTTCTAGTGACACAGGCATGCGTATGAACTGTGCCGCGTTTTTTGCCAAAGCCAGAGCCACTCTGCGGCATACATTAGTATCGGACTGTTGGCTAAGTCCATGAATGTCTGCTGCATCATCTTGAACTTCTTGCCTAGCCCAAGTCCTGAGAGCAGTACAAACTTGAAGTTCTACAGCCAGCCCGCCACCACGAGTTTGTAGCTCGATGTCACTCTTAACTAACTCAACTATTTTTCTTACATATGTTTGGCTAAATCTATATTTTTTTCGAAATTCTGTTTCTTCTAAAGTAAAAGGATCGAAACGACCCTTACCCTTCAAAACCGGAACACAAATAGTCCTGACATTACTGCTTGGCGGCAGAAATAGGGAAGGTGGCAAGGCCTGGACGAACTCTTTCACAAGGTGTTAAGCTGCAATAACTACCATTTTCTCTGCCACAGCATAAACACATAACTCATTCACATGCAAAATTCCCAAGCGCAACAAGTTCAAACTTTTGTAGACACCTGATATAAAATGATTTATAATATCATTCATCTTTTACAGCTGAGCAACAACCACCAACAGGCGCTGCAGCTGGTATTTCCCATATAGTACCGGGCCACGTCGTATATCACTGATATTTTATTGCACGCACCTTTGCCAGACATGTTCTCGTCAACACAGCCTGCTATACCTAAATACATACTAAATTGTTCCCTTTATGTTTAATTTAAGAAACTATTGATCTACAATAATGATGTTGCTTACAGCACAGTACAGATAAATAACTTGTTATGTTGTGTGATCATTACCTTATTACCTAGAACATACTATATCCTATACCATACTTTTTAATAAACCAAGTGTAAAAACAGATGAATCACAATCATTGTGAGATCAAAGCTAATAATCACTATCTACTGTCATATTTTTTCAAATGTTTATATATTTTTTCAAATGTTTAATTTTTTTAAAGTTTAATAGAGCCACACACTCATTGACTTACTAATAAAAAGTCAATGCACTCACTTGTTTTACTTGTAGGTATGATTAAGTTGTGATGAAATTTTGATATTACCATAATATTAATTATTAACACACTGATTAATATTGCATATCTCTAGTAATTACATAACAATTATGTCTGTAATGTAATTAAAATCATTTCAGCTACGTCTATTGCAGCGCTTGGTTTACAGGGAATAAAAACAAAACAGGTATAGATTTGACATACAGAGAATAAACTTGGAAGTCTAGAGGGTACACTTTGAATTCCTACATACTATTTAAACTCTAAATTATAACTGCAAAATAATAAACCTTATACATAATTTGATATCTGCTATACTACACACTTAAGTACATCTCCAGGATGAAGCCTTCATTTATTATTAATGCCTATCATAGTATAATGTAGTGTAATCCCTGGCCAAGTTAGCCATTAATTCATTATTTTCTTGGATTTGTGAAGAAATATTTTAAATGAAACAAATTCAACAGAGGTATTGCTTTACTACCTAAGGTCTCGTGTGAAATGTAAATAAAAGGTCTCTTATATAATTGGCTGTTTATTATTCATCATTACCTTTGTATAACCAGGCACAATATAAATATAATATTGCATAGTACCAGTAATGGGACATAAATAATTTTGTTCCAAATTATCATAGTTTAAATATATGACGCAATTTCTAAAGAGATTGAAAAATTTTGTGGGTACTCTCACTACACTATTCTCACTTGACTACTAAACAATTCTGCGATCATGATTGCCTAGTAAACACAAAAATAAGATAGATATCAACCTTAGTAGAATATAGGTGTTGTGGCCTGACTCTCCGGACTTTGGCAATTATTGTATGCCTGCAGCATCTAGTTAGTGCACTCTTAACAAAAACCAATGTAAAGGCGGTGATGGTTAGCACAGCCACATTAAGCTGAGATGATGCAGTTAATTCTGGTGGTCATCTAGACGCAGCGACAGAAGAAATACCTGAAACATTTCAAAAAACATTAGTACTCATTCTTTAGTTGCAATATCAAGTTAAGTTCTCATTCTAAAGTTATGTTGTATATAATGAATGTATTACAACTCTAATTAGAGAAATCTCTACTTCGGTCTAGGCACATAAAAATGAATTTTCTGGTAACCTTTACAACAGACATTGGAGTTTACAATGAATTACTCTGATGGTATCAGAAAACATCACGAGGATATTAAAGGCATGTAAAATCTATCAACCCGCAATGGGTCTACGCGAAGTATTAAAGACCAAGCTTCCATGTCTGAGGGAGGCAATTGCATCAACAGTGGGACACTACACAGTAATAGACTGATGATGACAATGACGAATAACAAACTATTTGTATACTTAGTAACTTACATTCTCCACTTCTGAAGTTCTGAGAAAATGAAATTATTATATTCTCGTTTGCTCAAAAGCTAGTCTAATCGAAAGGGTCTTGTAGTATTGTTTGGTGTAGAAAATCATTGATTCAGGAAGTTTCTTCGATTCTTGGCCTCTTCTTATGACGGATTTACCTTCCACAGTCAACGCACCAAAACAGTCAATTTCCACTTGAAGTTGTCGGACATTTCTTTTACTAAAAAGTTTGAAAATATCGAAAAATTTGATAACATTTATTATCGCAAAGGTTATAATTTTTGACGTTTGACGTTTAATTTGAGCTCAATTTGAGCTTCATTGTGAACACGACCATTTCTTTTCGTGAACTGTCAGACAGATTCCACAATCAGAGGCCGTATGCATCGGATTCTTGTGTCGCGGATTCCTGGGGTGGACATTCTCGGGTCGAGCATTACTGTGACGTACATTGCTGTGTTGGGCAATATAGGGACTCTACTACGATCACTACCCAAGATGGCGGAAAGGCTACCTACGCCTGCGGCAGCCAATCACAGCAAGGAAACAAAAATGACAAATGTCATTATTCATTAAAAAAGATGGCCGCTATTGCGAGCGGTTTTCTATAGGTAGATTACCGGCCGTGCCACTGACGTTAGTGACATACGTGACATATGATTTTTTTTTTAATTTATTAAGGCTTTGGCAAAGCCATCAGCCTAAACATGAAGTTTAAATATGTTTCTGTAAATATGGCTGCCACAAAGAGGATAGGCAATTTGAGGCGGCGTGCTTGGATTGACTCGGGATTCCTTAAAACGGGCCGATACGGGTATTTTATTTCGAGATTCGTATAATTTCGCGTTTTAATCTTCGATTAAGGCACAATAGCACTATCCTATTCCACTTTAACTAGATTTCACAAAATAATTGAAAGTCAAAATAAAAACGACACTTTTCCCTCCAAAAGGTCCAGAGCGAAAGCGTGACATATGATATGTCTGACATTATTTTTTTTTTACAATTTATTTGTAAGTCAATGATATCATAATACAAATTAGTATACTTATTTGATATGCTACTTCATAAAAGAAATTTTTACCGCATTAACATACTCTTGTATGATTGTTATCAACTTAAGACGATCCTTGATGGAAAATGATATTTGACATGTAATTTAATGACAACAATATTATATAATGAATTGTTAATTTTCTATGTGTTGTGTATTTTCTTATAATTTTCATTTTTGTCTGATGATCACAATATAATTTCTTATACTTTGATATGTAGTGCAATTTATACTGTAATTTTATATTTGAGAAATAAATGAATCTGAATCTGAAAGTTTAATTGTTGATATATATTTTTTGTATTATTACGGTAAAAGCATATTACCTTTAAGCTAATTTTATTTAACCAAAATTTAAAAAAGTTAATACACTAGACACTACCTAAGATGATTTTATTTAGCGTTGGAAACTTGTTAGACAAGGACAGATCACTACTTTGAGCTATCTCACGTGACTCGGCTTTTTACTTTTACTTAAAATAAACCTTATATAACCTAATAAGGTGTAAAGTAATTGATATAACGAAGTGCGTGATCCAGTTTAGGATTTATATATAAATCCGTGGTTAAAGCAAAACCTTGTTAAAAAAATATTGTTACCGATAAAGTTGCGTTCAAGTTAGATTTGTGACACCAGCGACTTCCGATTATGATTATGACATAACGTGCTCAAAATCTTAGAGGATGGGTTTCCATAGTCTAAGCTCAAAATGCAGAACTAAAATTTAACCTCAAAAACAAGTGTCAGTTCGAATTTTCACGAGAAAATAGTATGCCGCTTGGAAAATTCGGGAAAATTACTCTTTCGTGGTAATTACTTACGCAATTGATAAATTTATAAGTGTTCTTATTATTCTTTATTTTTTGTGGTGAGCTTTGCCTGTTTTCATTTCAAATTTTGTTATTTTTCATGGTCCCTATTTCAACTATTTTACATTATTGTCGTATTGTTTCACAGTAATTTACTCTCCATAATGGTAAAATCCATAGCTATTTATTGCATGAGATCATTAAAAGTACTTTATTATAAGCATTGAGACTTTTTACTGAGTATACATTTTCGATCACATTACGAATGATACATACATACACACTCTTCACGCCTTTTTCGGATGACAACCTGTAATAAAGGTTTTTTCTAACTTAAATGTTGTAATAAATATCTGTGGTGGCAGTACTGGTCACTAAAAATATTCAACTGTATCCAATAACCAACATGCAATGAAGTAATTACTTAATTAAAAAGTTAACTTGAGATAAAATGAATAATTTAATTGATAATAATATTTACAGGGTAATTATAACAGTAACGAGTCTCTCACTGTTTGTGCTGTCGAAGAACTCCATAAATGACCGCCGTATTGAGAATATGAAAGCACGGGAGCGCATGCGCAGGTCCAATATTGGAGAATACGAAAACCTGTACAGGAAGACTGCGTGACATGTAAGTTGGTAAAACATTATATAATTTCCTTTTTCCCAAGCAAACAGTCTGGTGAATATAAGCAGCGGTTATTCTTGATAGTAGCTTGGACAAAACCATTGAACCAGTTTTCCTCAAATTCTTCAATGTCATCACGGAAAGCTATGATGGATTTGGATGGTTAATCTAGAAAACTAGGCATTATAATAGGTGTAATAAATATGTATGCATGTGAATCTTTGGAAAGTTATAAAATGAAGTATATGTTGGAGAAGGTGCAACCTTATAGTGGACTATGGCCAAGAGTATCAGCAGTATTTTGCTGATTCTCATGCTACAACAATATTTGTAACATTATTGGTGGAATTAGATGATTGATTTCATGCATTTTTTGTGAGCGATTACATTGTGGTGGTGGTTCATAACAAACTAACATTAAAATTCCAGATTAAATTTGTATAAACTTTTAAAGAACAAATAAACAATGGCGGTCCCTCAACTGGATCCCGCGAAGCTGCAGCTCGTTCAAGAATTGGAAATTGAGATGATGTCAGACATGTACAACCGGCTTGTCACTGCATGCCATCGCAAGTGCATTCCAATCAAGTACCATGAACCTGAGCTTGGTGAGTACAAAAGTATTGGTGCCACTGACGATAGACAGATTATCAAGCTGGGCAAAAAATCAACATGATGGCTGACATTAGCCACTTGCTTATCTTCACGACTCTCGCTCACTCACACTGCGTATGAGACAAATAGAGTGGACTCTAAAATGATTACTTTTCTTCGCTTTTTAGATTAGTTTAGACCAGGGGTTCCCAAACTTATTTTGTCTACTGCCCACTTTGAGAATAAATTATTTTTTAGTGCCCCCATTTTTTCACCTACTTAAACCACTATAACTTCATTAAATTAATTACTGTGAGCTATATAAGTGGGGATTAAACATTCATTCTAACAAGAGTTTTACTATAACCCGCAAGAGTTAACTTGGGACCTGAACGAAGTAGGTAGTACACAATGGCGCTCAGGTCTCAAGTTAACTCTTACGGACTACACCTGCCAATGAGAATGATTATTGAAACGCAACTTTATAGTATTCAGACAGAGTATCTTTTATTCAAAATAAAACAAACATAATCAATTCTAATATAAAAACTAATGAGAAGGATGAATCCGATGCTGTTAAGTTTGTTGATATCAGGTTCCAATTTACTCAAGAACTTAGGCAAGACGAAAAAATTTCAATGCCCACCACCACAAAAAATAATTGAAAATATATTAATCTAATACAAAAAAATGTAGTGTAAATTATATAGATAATTCAGGGTTTGTGTTTCAAATGCAGTAGCACCCCCTGGACAGCATCAATGCACCCAATTGCTTCTGAGACCCCTGTATTGAAGGGTATTGAAGGGGGGGGGGGAATGGTAGGGACCACTTTGGGAAACTCTGGTTTAGACTGACTTTGCCTTTTGGAAGGAAAGAATGCCATAAAAGATCAAAAAATTTCAGTGCATCTTAGCAATTGACACCATTTTTACGTATTTTCAATGGACAGCTCAGACCAAAGTGAAGAACTTTTGTTACCTGTTTATGGGGTGACCTTGAAATGTTACTATTTTGGCGGGTGACTGCCAGTATCGTACGAACAACTTTTACTTATATTTAAGTTTTAAAAGTCCTCCAGGCCATTAGGGGTCACCCTCAAGCAACTACAAATTACTCAAGCTCAAATTCTCTTATAATTCAGTGAAAACTAAAATATTTCTATATTACAGGCAAAGGCGAGTCAGTGTGTGTAGACCGCTGCGTAGCAAAATATCTCGACGTGCACGAGCGCATCGGCAAGAAGCTGTCAAGCATGTCTCAAGGAGAGGCCGAGGCCGATCTGACAAAGATTAATCTGCCTGAGAAGAAGTAGGGGTAGGGTTGCTGTGAGTCTTTGCAATTATATTAAAACCTTGAGCTCAATTTATAATGCCGCGGAACAGATGAAAACGAATTTTTGTAATGAAATTGTTTGACATAATTTTTGTTTCACAATGCGGTCATAAAGTTCATTACGCTGTAGTTACAAAAATTGTTTTTCATTTCATTTCGCGGCAATGTAAATTGAGTCTTTAAGTTCCAGTGAGAATGATATGAAGTGGATTATTACACCAGAGTTTGCTCTATTTCATTAAATTCAAAACTCTTTAGATCATACACATCAAACTACAGCTCTATGGTGATAAGCCTCTAAGGGTAATTTTCAAATTAGTTTTCTTTACCTAATTTCGCTGGCAATTTTTATTAAATATTCGAGAACCCTTAGAATAATAACGCATAGAAACCTAGCCCGCACACGCTAAGTGA